ATTGCCCCACTAATTAAGTAAACCTTGGTTTAAATATCTCGATTGCTTCTTTTACCTCTCATGGGAGTCTGAAAGTTTCCTCCCCCAGACCCTAAAGGGCGACTTTGGTAGAAAAGCAAACAGCCTAAAACGGAGTTTGCTCTAATTATTTTCGTTTGAGGAACGAAAACAATCTAATTAGAGCTCGGAGTTTTAGGCTGTGCTGAGACCACCTCCTCCCCAAACTTCTTTACACGGACAGTGCTACGATTGAAGGCAGGCAGACTACCCCAGCTGGCTCTGCACCACTCAAGGTCAACGGTAGCAAAGCTGCCAAAGGCCGCTTTCTTCCTTTTTCTTTATCGCTACGATTAAATTCGAGGAAGAAACAATCTAAAGATCAAATAGAGCTTTAAAATGTTCAAAGCAAACAGCCTAAAACTCCGAGCTCTAATTAGATTGTTTTCGTTCCTCAAACGAAAATTTTTTTTGCAATCGCAACGCTTATCTGTTTCAGCTAAATGAATTTAAAAAGCATCATGGTTTCAACTCAATTGAAGTCGGAGGGTCGATTAGTGTCACTCTGCTATGTATAAATTTAATTGAAAGTATTCACGTGAGGATAGGCATCGTTGAATATTGAGAAGGATGAGAATACGACGCTGTCTTTTCCAATTTTCTTACCACAAGAATGGGTTATACAGGTAACATTAGTCATTACAAGAATGACATGTACATAGAGTAAGATATACACATCTTTGCTTGTGTACATGCTCCAAACTGGTACACGTATTACTGATAGTACTACATGCAGTACTAAAGTTCCTGCCCTTTTATAGTGCAAGCATTTACGTCCTTTAGAAACGGCTCACTCCATCACTTAAGATCAATATAATCGTGATGAAATATCTCGGACATGGGTGCCGATTTAGTGGTGCCTGGAATACCAAGATGTGAAGCTGGAGCGTTCGTAAATGGTAAATTCATCAGTGCAATAACTAACCATAGCCGCAAACTTTCACTTAACAATAAATTTTGTTTTTGGTTTTTCTTAAATTTATGTTCTAGTCGGATGTGGGGTCAGCGTTGGATGGGCTATATCTGGACTGTCGCCGATTCTAGAAATCCCAGAACTGTTACATTATGCGGGGTTTGGGACCCGCAAATCAATGATCAAATCTTGGTACCGTGAACTGGGATCTTGTTAAGAATAAGCACCTCAGACGTTACTGGAGTGCGTATTCTTAACAAGAACATTACTGAGGTGCGTATTCTTTATAAGGTTGAGCAACAAGAGTAAGTTATTCTCCAAAGGTTTATAATGGGGTGCTTATTATTAACAAGATCCGTGAACTGTAACCACTGGGTCATTCTGCTTTTTAGATATTTACACAAATTAATTGAACATATTGAGTTACTTGATTTGCAAGAATAAATCTGAATGTAGTTACATCGAACCAATATGACGGAGGAATGCTTTAGTCAGTCCAGCAACTCGTGAACTGACCGTTTCGGTTCGTTCGGTCAAGTCGACAGCGTCAGGCCACAAGTCAACGTTAAATTCTTCTTTTCAAAACGACTTTATAAGGCAGGGGTACGTTAGTTATCATTTGAGACGGATTAGTTTCCGTCGAGAGTGTGACGCCCTCCGGCGGCTCTATAGTGAAGCGCTGCAAGATGGCCGTCGAGAAGAGGTAGAGCTCCATGCGAGCCAGAGACTCCCCGAGACACTGGCGACGCCCTGAGACAAACAAACGCTCGCGTCAGTGCATTTTATGATAGAATTTGGCAGAGCCTGCTCGTAAATATTTTTCGATGCACTTGAATTCAGGTTATCATTAACGGTAAACACTAAACAGTAACTAGATGTTTCAAGATTCGACATAAGGAGCTACCACAAGTAGTTTCCTGCATATCAGCTACCGATTAAGAAAGGTAGGAAGCCTTCTTTTTTCCCATCGAGTTTCCCTTCGTCGTCGAGAAAGTGTTCCGGATAGAACTTGTCAGGATGCTTCCAATAAGCCGGATTGCGATGACACATTTCGGAACAGGCCATAAACGACGTGCCCTGGGAAAAGAATTAATAAAATAATACGCCAGAATCGAACTTCCTTTATAGTAGTTATGTAAATGGTAATCGGACCGTTTTAAACCCTTGGAGGCTTCATAAACGGAAGCTTGAAGAAGATGGTGCGTAGAACCACGAGCTTGAGTGTACAACTTCGACAAAAACAAATGGTGCAGGTGTCGAGCATCAAGTTTGTTCCATCAGTGGTAATTCTGTATTTTCTCCAAATTTTGCTAGTATTCATGTATCATTACAGAAACCAGTCGAAATAAAGTATTATATTAGGTTTACTTTTGGTATTTCGAATCCCTCGAAGGTGACGTCAGCGGTGGCCGTATGCAGCAGGCCGATGGGCACGAGTGAGCTCAGCCTCATGACCTCCAGCAACATGGCGTCAACGTACTGCAGTCTGCCGGAAAGTTTCGGTTGCTCCAAACTGCCACGTCATCAGTCTAACCTCTAACGTAATATCATGATTTCAACATGGTGTTCATTACTACTATGAAAGTTGGAAGTAATGTTTCACGGAGCTGACCAAACGATGAATCATTTATCGATACTAATCATAATCGAACTGTATACTGACTGATTTCTGTCGTTGAGTGATGGCAGACGATCATTAGGAACAACCTCGTCCAAACGTTTGTGAACTTTCGCTTGGATCTGAGAAAAATAAAAAAACAATAATGAACATGCATCAAAAATTTTATAAGCAGCTAAGAACTCAGCAACTTCGTTTATTTCATTCCCCACACGCCTCAGTTCCAGCGTGCCAAATAGGCTTTTATGCTAATTTATGATTTTTGACATTCACAAAATCATCCTATACCGGGGCTATAAAAATCTTTCAATTTCGAAAATTGTCAATATGTTGTTATTATAGCTAAATTCACCAATAACGTAAGATGGGAAAGAGAGAACTCCGAAGCTATAGGAATCCATGAAGCCGTAATGGCATTGAGTAGAATTTTTTCATACAAGAATAAGTGACCAGAAGATCGGTCGCTCTAGACGAAATGACGCATCCTCACGTTGCTGTCCTATCAAGGATACCGGATGTAAGGTTGTGAACCAAATTTTAGACGGTATTGAAAGGAAGTCGAGTACAGTAAGGACCGACTGTGACATGGGCCAGTCGAAACCCAGTTGTCATATGGTTAGCAACCCATTTAATGGCATAGTTAAGTGGCTAGAGTTTGCCTCATCGTAATTTGGTTTCGTTGATTAGCGCTGCTTTAAAGGGTAAGTCACGTCGTTAATATAGTCCCCTATATAATATTAAGTGGGAAAATTTGTAACAACTGACATTAATTTGGCGTCATAAGGGATAAATTTACTATACTACGATTTCCATTGCAAATGTGCCGAAGCAAGTAGTCTCTCTTGAAATATTCTTTATTCAATGTGCAGGGTTTGTGGAGCTGGAGTTTATATTCTACTTGAGGCAGAAACGAATCCCAGATTGAAGTCTGATTTTGAAGAACTAATCCTGCGTAACCGTGCATCGAGAAGAGCTACGATCAGGTCGACCGGGGAGGTTGTTAGATGTGTGCATCCATTTTTCTACGTACCTCCAATATACCATTTATACATATAATTTATTTCACCTGTTCCTATTCAATAATGGATGATGTGAGGAATCGCCACATAACAACAGTGGGAATCTGTAACTCAAGATATGCTCGCTTTAAACCAGCAGGTCGTAAAATCTATGGTGATGAGGCAGGTTCTCAACTGCTGCGTTAAACTTTAATATCAGAAATGCTTACCTCAGGATTGATGGCCATGTAAAGTATCATCCAACGCAGAGTAGATGAGGTGGTCTCAGAGCCAGCAGCAAAACTGTCACCAATTATGGACAGTACGTCAATTTCTGCACGTAGAACGACACAGAAATAATTTATCAATTGTTAGCCAACAATACAATTTCTGCATAGATGAAACATCACTGTAGTTAATGAAATGCTGGAGTTCGCGAAAGAATATTTTCCCTAATTAATTTTCGAGACTTCTACAATCCGCTCATATATGTTCACGTAGCATTTAACACTGCAGGCCTCTCGGTCGCAAGCCTTTATGTACGAATAGCATTGATAACGCCAAATATACCTGAACACAAAGGGTTTAAGTGACGCAGTCAGATCAACGTACTATTTTCTTTTCCTTGATAGAACTATATCATTGATTATATCACCTTTATTCAGGATAGAAGAACTAAGACTAATAGCTTATTGACAAGTTTATGCCTACAAAACGCTTATAATCCTATTGCTCGGTCTCCATACATTGTAAATGATATAATCATCTCATTTAATATTTAATGATTTTGTAAAATGTTATTATTATTACAGCTTTAAGTAGATAAAAATTACACTCGCTACCGTCTTCAGGAGTGAGGTAGTCCGGGGCGTCTCTGTGGGCGCGCTCCAGCAGCAGCTGGTCGATGACGTCACGAGGGTTGTTGGGGTCAAGGGTCGCCATGTGATCGTCAATAACTTGCTGGGAGCGAGAGAAAATCATTTACGACGAGCATACGTAAATTTATGTAAATGAGAGAACTTCGTAATAGTATGATCGCACCTTGTCATCGAAAGATATATGATTGAGAAGAAAATTATCACCCCAAATTGCAGGTTGCGTCAAGATAACATATATTTTCAAATAATCATCAAACAGTAAAATGTTGGTTGTAAATTTTTGTTACCGTCACTGACAGTAAAGATCGTGAAGTAGACGAGATTTTATCGCGCTTTTACCGACGATGCACGATACCGGTCACACTCATTAGACTAAAATCTTGTCGTTACGTTACACAATACGTTTGGCACTGAAGCCACTGACCGATGCATTACCGAGGAGAGAAAATAAAAAAATCTAGAATAAAAAATATAATAATAATGCCAAATAATAATATTAATATCATCGAAATTTTTGCTTCGTGATGAAAGTTATGCACTATTGTTTTGAGAGTTGTGCACTCACTATTATGAGAGTTATGCACTATTGTTATGAGAGTTATGCACTATTGTTTTGAGAGTTATGCTCCATTGTTATGAGAGTTATGCACTATTGTTTTGAGAGTTATGCTCCATTGTTATGCACTATTGTTATGAGAGTTATGCACTATTGTTTTGAGAGTTATGCTCCATTGTTATGAGAGTTATGCACTATTGTTTTGAGAGTTATGCTCCATTGTTATGAGAGTTATGCACTATTGTTTTGAGAGTTATGCTCCATTGTTATGAGAGTTATGCACTATTGTTTCGAGAGTTATGCGCTATTGTTGAGAGATATGCGCTATTATAATGAGAGTATTGCGCTATTGTTATGAGAGTATTGCGCTATTGTTATGAGAGTATTGCGCTATTGTTATAAGAGTTATGCACCATTATTATGAGAGTTATGCGCTGAAAGCCAGTACCTTGTACATATTTTACACTCTAAATTTAGACTGCCGAGTAATATAATATCTTTATTTGATTTCCTTTTCCTCAAATACCAGTTTTGTCTTCATGGGTCTGGTATCGTGGTTAACTAACTCTGTCAAGATCTTTAAAGGCACCTTGCAAAAATTTCTCGACAACGTTCTATACGAACACTAATAACAAAGAGCAATGAGTAATGACAGGACACGTGAAGCATGAGTAACACTCACCTTGAACATTGAGTAGGCCTCATCTCGATTTCTGCAGAGGACATCAACTTTGAAAACTTTATTCATTATAAACGAGGGGAGCGCCTTAGCCAGCCAAGGGAAAACGTCGAGGATAAATAAGACTCCTTGTATGATGTTCATATCTTCTTCAATCAGAGTACTGTAACGCTGCATCATCTTATCCTCGATGTCGTATCTCTTGCCTGGGACCGAACGTATATATATTTACTTAGGGAGGCACAACCCATTACTAATAGTTTAGAACTGTCACACAAGTTACTGTATGACGTCATCATTGTTATGTATGTCTATGCCAAAGAGTAACATAAAGATGTTCATTAAAAATGCGTTTAAGTAAAATAATATTTGAAAATCGGTAGAAATAACATGGTTTTCTTTTTAGGAAAATTGTCACTTGTTTTCATTCAAACCGTTCCTGCATAAAATATTTATTCTCTCGCAAGAGTTAAGTCAGTACTTTAAAAGTCCATATGACAATAACTTCAGCAAATCCTGGAAAAATTTCTTGCGATTTCTATATGTGTGGAAAATTTTGAAAACAGTACTTTAGTCGTTGAAAGAACGTGCAATTTAATTGTTTGAGAAATAGATTTTACTCGCGAGCATTTGCCAGATGACGTTGACCACAGCACAGTTGATGGAGTGATCCATGACGGCAGGCTTGCCGACGCAGGTTTTATCCAAGTGATCCACCAGCATCTCGGCCTCTTGTTGAATGGAGCCCTCGAGCGCTGTTTTGCCCATACCGAGATCACGCAAGTGGCGCAACATGAACCGCCGGTTCTCGGACCACACTGAACCATGGCTGCTGACTAAACCTGAAACATAAACATTGACCGGTAAGAGTTGAAAAACCAACAATAGCATACAATCTCAATGAACTGGTCGGCTTATAAAATCTTATTAACTGAACATACAAATTCACAACTTTATTTATAAATTTGATTAAAAAAAAAGACCAGGTTTTTTTTCGATGGAAAGAAAGTTTGAGCCAAATTTGGTTGGAAGGAATTTATCATGAATGTAAATAATTCGATGGATTCTAGGCTCCATTGTATTCAGAATGATCATTAGTGTTCATGGGAGCAGAAACTTTGAAATACAACGATAGGCCCGTTTTTGTTTGCAAATATCGTTCAAGGTGTCATGTGTTCATTATCAAATACTGCTCACTCTAACTTATTTATTCGCAGCATAATTCCGTCAATACGAAACATCAACAAAATCTGTCATGAACATATTGTCTTTACCTATACTCTATAAAATCGCTCCAACTCAATTTGTTCTGTAACGAACCCGAAAAGCTACCTACTCTATTTTAGATTAAATACAATAATTTACCAGCATTTTTGAAGTGGCTGAATAATGCAAATGAAAAGAATGCCGGACGTCCCTGGATGTCGGGATGATTGAACGCCTTCTTGATGAGGTGGTAGTCGGTGACGACCACAATGCGGTGCGAACCCCACTTTGTTCTGACCGGCGAAATTTATAACCATCAGCTACAATGGAGAAGTCACATCTTCATGGTTAGTTCCCGACATTGGTGCTGCCTTTAATGCTTTACCCGTTGAAATGTATAATAATCCACTGACATTGAAAGCAATAAGTAAACTAACGAATTGACGCTGAATCTGGAGTCGTGAAGATCATTATTGAAACTCTAAAGATCTGCGCATATCTTCCTATCTCGAACATGCGTCATGCTATTTGAGGATTGGGAGCACGTGGTTGCAAAAATAAGTAAAGGAAAATTAAAGTTAAATTTTATTGTTTTTCATTACCAAGAAATTTTTATTGCTGTTGAACATCATCCTCTTTAAGGGGTTTTCAAAATATAGAACTCACGTGAAAATGGGCCCTCGCTTCTGCTTGAGGTTCTTCAAATGTTCGGTGATGGGAATTGAACGTGGCGGCAACTCTCCTAAAATCGGCCAGCCGAACGTTCCTGTTAGATGATCAAGTGTGTATTACGTCCATTGCTCTGCTTTCGTAAATAACAACTGAAAGAATCACCGAATACCAGAACTAACATTGGATGCTATGAACATACAAAAATTGAGGAGACACTGCATAAGTTCAGACAGATAATTATGGACATTGATATTTACGAATTGAATCAATCAATTTTATATTCTTTATTCGGCCACTAATCTCTTAGTTGGTACTGTAATATTTACTAATGGATTAATATTTTTTTAATAGGTGTGACAGTGTGAGGATATTTCACTTACCTGGTGGCATCCGCGTCGGCTTCCTTGAAAATATTGTCAGGAGAGCCAGAAGGGCAAGAAGAAGTATGATCTCCAGGAACATGTTGCTGCGTGCGGACGTTCGTTACAGCTTTTATCTGCTGTTACTACCAATACTACAGTATTACTTAATTCTATGGGAGAAAAAGGCGTCAACACTGCTAGGCATGTTACGATAAATAATTTTACGGTCTCTGATATAACTTCGTAAGAAATTTTTGCGTGCACAAGACATTTAGGAAAAGCTCGAAATATAAATTTAATCATTCATCCGTCTTTCAATCTCAAAAAATGCTTAGCATGAATCGATTAGGTAAATTTTGAAGACGTATTAAATATCACATAGACAAGTAAGCTTATCTTTGGCATGGCTCATCGCTCGAAATGAAAGCTATAGCGATCAGGAAGCAGAAAAAAAGTTTATCCTATTCATATATGAAATGGACTTTGTATCGATTTTGGAATTAGACTCCGATTTTTTAATGTGGAATTACAACACAAAGCAACGATGACCTTAGCTTCCTCTCGTCAGTAAATGGAAACAACGCTCGTGCTCAGGATCAACAAGTCGAGTTAATGATTTAGAACAGTAGAGAGCCCACATGCATATTCCAAGAGCAAAAATAACGCTGACTTAGATCCGTCTGATGTTACTTCCTTGAAGTATTTCAACGTTGACTCGAACCATGGACTCAAAATCTTTGATTTAAACTACAATTTTTCATTAAAAGTATCAGGCAGCATCTTCATTTCCTCTAACTCCCCCTTCCCAGCACGCCGATAGACGACTGCGGCTGAAGCGTTGCGCACTTGCGTTCAGTTGGATTAAGTCAAGGCCAAAGTCTACAAAGGGGACGCCAACCTTCCTGCCACGCTTGCATCACACAATAATAAACATTCATTTTGTAACCATAGCCTCCCGACAGAATATAGAAGAAGATTTTTATTGGTGCAATATTATAATTGCGGTTAATTTAATGTAAGCAAATCAGGATCAATGCTCAGATGATAAATTCCAACAAATTTGATTTTATTACCGACTGGCCTTGGAGCCTTATCTCGTGTTATCTTACATTTGTAACTAACAACGTTATCTGCATCTTCCCGCACCTTCACTACAGCACTAAAGACGATTTGTTATGAAAATTTACATAGATATTAATTCCTTCCTTTCCTTAACATCTACTTTTTTATAGAATCTGTCAACACGATGTTATAACAAGAATTCAGTTTCTATCTTAAAGTTTTGATATATCAATAACACTGTAGCTAAGAAAATAATAAATAATCATACATGCACATTTGTTTTCTGATTTTAGGGAAAAATATAAGCGAAAGAAGCGTTAACCGATATTTAATCTGATAAGAACTCGTACAAACAAGAACTTCATTATTCTATCCTATAGGTATACCTAATATTCTATCGTATACCACAGATGCTCCTCACAATAACGCGTAGTAAACTAATAATGTATCGCTGCAACCACAACAGAATGGTATGCGGAGCAGCAATTGATATCTGTGTTAAAAAACCCGGTCACTTACTCTACCCCGGATAAAAGCAGCGAAAATATATAACATCGTCAAACACTTCACACACTACACCCTCCAGAGAGAAATAAATATTCAAGAGCCGGACAGATGCATGCTGCTGTCTCCAGTCTAGAAGAGCAGCACGCTCAATCCATATTTTGCGGCCTCTAACTAGAAAGATAGATTGATGTCTTCGACATGGACGTGAACTTGAAAATAAATTGACTATCATTGAACATCCTTCCCTTTGCCCGGCCACGAAGGTTCGGCGAAGCTACCCTCTAACACCTCTCTCACTACCCTTTTAGGCCTGTCACTTGGGCCACCACCGGTGCAAGTGCTATTATCAACTTCTCACACAACAAAGTAAAGACTGTTCTTAATTCTTCTCTTCAAGACTACTTTATAAGACTTCGGCGTGTTGTACGCCTACTGCGATGGATCTGTTTCCGCCGTCGAAAGCGCGATCCCCGCCGGCGGTTCTATTGTAAAGCGCTGCACGATGGCCGTCGAGAAGAGGTAGAGCTCCAGGCGAGCCAGGACAGAAAATGAATACAGAATCTATAAAATGACCAGTAAATATATAGGGAGGATCTTATATAGGGAGGATCTTAGCTCTGAAAATATTTTTCGGGATGAAAGATAGAAGACATTTTGCCAGCCAAGGGTAAACCTCAATAAGAAACATAAGACCTTGCGACCTTGCATAACGTACATATTTTCTTCGATCTTGCCACTGTGCCACAGCATCAATTTGTTCATTTTGTCAAATCGCTTGCCTGGAACCCAAAGTATAGCTATCAAGTCTCGTAGTCACAGTGCGGCAAAGTATGGGAGCGGAGTACTCAGGACAACGGTGTGAAATCCGTGCTTATTGTGTGCGGATGAATGAAAGGTTGTGCTTTTAATCGGGATAATGATATTTACATGCATTTGAAGTTTCATTTCACTGGATATTCGTGCACAATCGCCTCAAATCAGTATTGCATTGGTCCACGTACTATGTCGTTATAACGTACAAATAGGCATGGACGGAGAGAAATCTTGTAGCGCAGTTTGTTTGAACTTGTGGATTCGTTTTTTTTAGTATTTTTTTGTGGATTATAACTGTGTTATGAGACGGAATTTTTTACTTTACATCTGTATGAAGTAAAAAATTGATTATTTGAAGTTGAATTATTCAATCACTATTACGTTGTATTGAAAGTTTTTAGCATTTTTTCATCTATAATCCTGTTTCAGGTTTAGTCAGAAGCCATGGTTCAGTGTGGGCCGAGAACCGGCGATTCATGTTGCGCCACTTGCGTGATCTCGGTATGGGCAAAACAGCGCTCGAGGGCTCCATTCAACAAGAGGCCGAGATGCTGGTGGATCACTTGGATAAAACCTGCGTCGGCAAGCCTGCCGTCATGGATGTCTTCTTCAACTGCGCTGTGGTCAACGTCATCTGGCAAATGCTCGCAAGTAAAATCAATTTTTGAAATAATTTGATAACTAATATCAATCCGCCAGTGATTTGTTTTATTGTTTATGAAAATAAAAATTAATAAGAAACTGAATTCACTCTATAGACCGAATATACGATCTCACATAATTTATTGGTTTATATTTAGTGAAATAATTTTATTAAATCATAGGTAAATTATTTATGTGCAAACAGAAAGAACAAGGAAATATATAAAAATTTAAATAAATATTTCATTTTTTCATACCAATCCAGTTTTTTCTTTGCAGTCTGTGGGAAGTAACAAAAAATATGTTTACTTTATTTTAAAACGTCGTTAGGGATTGAACAGGTTGTATATTTGTCATTTTGTATTAGAGAGAGTTTGACGTGACCTTGGCCGAATTACGGAAGCTTGTTTAGTCTTGTTGTTGCCGACGATGTGTATGGTACGTCTCGGGTATGAGGGGAGCGCAGCCGTGCACCACCAATTTTGTGCACCAATAAGCCCTGAATCGAACTCCTTGGATCTCTCCGGACATCCACCAATCAGCCGTGAACCACTCGGCTTGTCTTCCTCCGGCCTCGCATAAAACCTGCCGTGCACCACCAGGCCACGGATCGAACGTGCGCGTCTAGTAGGAGTCGTCTGCTGTTGCACAAATGGAATAGCACCGAGGCTTCCTGCTGGAGATCGGTGGACTTGCTTCCCATCTTTTTTATGACCGAGCGCGCACATTCGTTGTCCGTCATGAGTCGGATTGTCATGTCGTAGACCTCCAAAAACTCCAGTGATCTGACTACTGCCCGGACTTCCAGTCGATTGATGTGGAGCAATGACTCCTCTTGATCCCATAATGCACCGTGGTTGAAGTTCTTGCTTGTCTGGAGGCCCCAACCTTCTGGTGAGGCGTCCGTCCAGATTGTGAGGGCTGATGCCTCCCGCTGGAATGGAGCGGTCTTGGTGAGTGGTGCAAGGCTGATCCATGTTTCTAAGCCGGTGAGGAGAGTCTTTGGGATCGGATGCCTCTGGTCTCTCTTGTGAGCTGGGCCTAGCAGTTGGGGTTTCACGATCAGGAAGTAGTGGTGGCGGTATTCTGGGATGAGCTGAGCCGCGAAGTTCAGGGAACCCAGAAGACTTTCCCAGCGTCGTCTTGAGGCATACCCTCTGTCCCTCAGGCGTAACATAGAGTTGACGATGGAGGAGGCTGGGTCTGTTGGGAGAGACCACCGACCG